GACCCGCCGCCCCGTCCGGCTCGGCGCGGCCTGGAGGGCTGGGCGGCCCGGCGGAGCCCCGCGGCCGCCGAGGGCGCCTTCCGGTTGGGCCTGGTGGAGCAGGAACTCCGGGAGCTGGGAGGAGGCGTTTGTGTGCGCTTCCCGGCAAGACTCCGTTCCCGAGTGCCTGGGCCTCCTTCCCCTACCCGTACCTAAATGGCGCCAAGCTCTGAGGTCTGGGGGTCTGGGAGGGAGCGTGGTGAGGGTCGGCGCTCACTTTCCCGGGGAGGGGCGCGGGCTGCAGGGCTCGGGGCTGGTGCCCCCAGGGAGGGGAGCTGTGCTCTGGCTACTGGGGTCTGCGACACAGCGGAAGATGGATGCGTTACGATTACCCGTCATACACCGACCAGGAAATATCCACCACTTTTAAGGTCCTCACCAGCCTTTATTTTCTCTCCTGCCCAAACCGGATGAAAAACCCTGGCGTGGGGACAGCATTGATAAACTTGGGGTGAAGAGCAGGTTACACGTGTACACGCGGGCACTCAGTCTACACGCACTCAGTTCTGGGCCTTTCTTGTAACTTTCTGCTCACCCTTCTAGCCCCTGGATGAGGCTCCCATCCCGGTGGTCTCCAGGCAGCTTCTGGCTGTAAGGGTCTTGAGTTCCCCGTGCTTCCTGTAGGCCGGGGATAGTCCCTTTTGCATTTGGCTTAAAATTGGTTGGCTGTTTATTTAACTGGCTTTTTCACATCAAAGCGTGGATGTTAACGACTCTAAAAGTGACTTTCACTTAGGGCTGTAACTCGATGGTTTTCAGAGTGGTAGCTGTGAGCCACGCAGGAAGTCTTGTAAATAGAGATGTTGCTTAGGGAGTAATTTTTTTGTTTTTAATTCTGTAACTCAGTAATGGCATGATTTTGCGTGAGAGGTTGTGTATGTTCTAAATCTGAAAGATTTGGGGGGAATCTTCTGTCATTTCTGATAAGTGAGGAAGTGCAGCAATCATTCTTAAATATTCAGTGGACCGTCCTTTAGATTTTATTTGTAATTAACCACACTTCTTGTCTCTAGTTGCTGGATTGGCTGAGCTTTTAATTTAGCTAATGAAAGCGCTAAGCTTTTGGCTGTTTTACCTTCAGTCACAGCCAGAAACTTCCTGTATTTTTTTTTTTTTTTAGAGACCCACATCAGAAATCATTGACATGTTTTTGTGTTTTATTTGTGACTTCACCTTAAGATAATTTTGTTCACAGTTAAACAGTTAAATTGAAAAACTGTTTCCTGTCATTTTCTCTGTCAGGTAACATATTGAAGTGTAAGAACTGTTCATTTGCAGTGGGCATCCTTTTAGTCAATTGTACTGTCACTAATATTTTTCCAATTTTTTGAACACTTAAGGAAAGTTACCAAATAAAACTCAAAACTCTCTCTTAACTATAGTTCCATGGTACAGGCATACAAATTTAAGATGAGTGTCCTCCTTTTTGATCTTGTGTTTTATATAAACTGCTATAAATAGGGAAAACTTAATTAAAATTTCACAAATTGGAGGTATATAAAAAGGCCTGAGTTTAATTTGCAGATTTAAAATGCAAATACAAATTTCATTGAAATTTCATTGTGGAGAATTCAATTTTTTATGCCAGTAATTGAATATAAAATATATGAGAAAAGGTTTTTGAGAGGACATAGTATGTGTGAGATAATTGCTGGACAAAAAATTTAGAATCTACTTCATTTTATTCATATCTACATTGAATTGGTCTCACTTGCTTACCTGTTATTAATATACATTATTTAAAAAGCAAAAAGGTTGTAGGAAGACTAGCATTAAGCTATAAGTATAGAATTTAGATAAGTGTCTTTTTTTTTGCCTATTAGCCAAAATTTTTATTTTTCTTAAGTTTCTTGAAAATATTTCTTGAAACTGGTCATTCACCTTAACCAGATAAAAATACGGAAAAAGTTATAGTCAAGTGAATTTTTTTTCCCACCGAGAAGGCAGAAGTAGGTAGTAAGAGAATGATACTGAAGGAAGAGAAAAATTGCCAAGGGAAGGTTGCTGAGTAGCTGTGTAATAAAAACTTGTGGGATTGAATTATTAATTAAAGAGCAATTTTCAGAAGTTAAAGTTTGCCCTTTAGGTTAACTTTCTGTGAAGACAATTTCCAGGTAGGAATAATAATTAATAGGACTTTTGTGGCAGCAATGTGTGAGGCACTATTTTAAGTACTTTACGTATATTAACTCTTACTTTAAATATAAATAATCATGTGAGGAAGATCCTATTATACCCTTTTTATAGATGAGTATACCAGCATCAGAGAGTTTAAGTTACTTGTCTGAGACCACACAGCCAGTGGGGATGGAGGTAGGATTTTAGCTCAGGCAGTGTAAATTAATCATCCTCTACACTATTATGGGATATACTCTGCAGCCCTTTATCCTAAAAATAGGACAGACACTTGGTATTAAATTGAGTAGTTGTCTGTATTGATAGTAGTTTTAGCTGCTTAAAGAAATTTTTGTGTAAGTCTAACTCCGCAATGGGTTGTTACTGAGGAGATGTTTGCTTAGCATTAAAGAGAGATAAGGTCCCCTTATTGCGCATTTGACCTGTGCAGTCAGTAACTTGTGCAAGCATGTGGATACTGTGCTTGCTTTGATGCTCTGCCGTTACTATCCAGAAATTTTTAAAAAATATTTATTTGGGGTGCCTGGGTGCCTCATTTGGTTGAGCATCTGATTCTTGATTTTGGCTCAGGTCATGATTTCACATTTGTGGGATTGAGCCCCACGTTGGGTTCTGCGCTGACAGCTTGGAGCCTGTTTGGGATTCTCTCTTTCCCTCTCTCTGCTCCTCCCCTGCTCAGGCATGCGTTTGCTCTCAAAATAAATGAATAAATATTTTTAAAAAGTGAAAAAAAAAACCTAAGTGTTTTATTTATTTTTATTAAAGTTTATTTTTAACTTTTGAGAGAGAGACAGAGAGAGACAGAGAGTGAGTGGGGGAGGAGTAGAACAGAGAGGGAGACACAGAATTTGAAGCAGGCTCCAGGCTCTGAGCTGTCAGCACAGAGCCGGATGGGGGGGTGGGGCTCGAACTCACGACCTGTGAGATCCTGACCCAAGCCGGTTAGACAACCGACTGAGCCACCCAAGGTGCCCCTATTTATTTTTGATAGAAAGTGAGAAAACGCGCACGCATACGCACGCACGCACGGGTGGGGCAGAGAGGAAGAGAATCCCAAGCAGGCTCCTCACTGTCAGCGCAGAGCCTGATGCGAAGCTTAAACTCAAAAACCATGAGATCATGATCTGAGCTGAAATCAAGAGTTGGATGCTTACCCAACCGAGCTACCCAGATGCCCCACCATCTAGAAATTTTTAATAATTTTTTTAAAGCAATCTCTACATCCAACATGAGGCTGAAACTCACGACCCCAAGATTAAGAGTCACATGTTCCACCAACTGAGCCAGCCAGGCACCCCTTAATAAGTTTTGAACAAGGAGACCTGCATTTTTATTTTGTACTGGGCCCCACTAGTTATATAGCTGGTCTTAGGAAGGAGTAACTAGTTTATATAGTTTCACAAAGCCTCTTATTTCTCTTGTTTTACCTACTAAATTAGGATTCAGCTATTTGTCATGTTATTTTTTAAGTGCTTATTTATGCAGAGTCCTTTTAATATTCTCATAAGAATAATGAGAAGGAAATGTGCTGTTGACTTCTAAAGTATGTACACATCTAGAATATATAAAGATGTGTCCTTTCAGTTTTCTAAAGTTGAATCATATATGCAGCGCATACTGTTTGGAATAAAAAATTAAAGAATACTTCCCTGAAAGGCACTTAATATGTGATTCAAGGATTATAAAAAGGACTTTTCAGAGTGAGTGAAGGATGTATAAGGTGTGGTTTGTGCTTATTTTGTTTTCTGAAACCAAGAGGACTTGGAAAGGTCTATAGTTAGAGTACCATGTCTCCCCAGATTCCAAAGGACTCTGTTAAAAATATTTCAGATTGCGAACCAGAATTTTAGAACTGGAAAGATTTGAGATCATTTAATCCAACACACTCATTTTCCTAAGGCCTGAAGAGGCCTAGTGACTCTCTAGTTCTTCCTTTTTCTACCTATCTTGTAAGTAAAATTTCCACAGGAATAATATGTAAAGATGTCAGCACCAAAAACCAATAATGAAGGGCACAAGAATCTCAATGCATTTTATGGTTTATACTGTAGCCTTGAAATTTTATGGGTTCTGTTTCCTCAGGATCACAAAGTCAGGTTTTTTGTTTTTGTTTTTGTTTGTTGTCTGTTACATACCCAGGCTCTGTGCTTGGCACAGTGGCATTTAATCAGTGCTTGTTGAGTGACTTGAATGATGAGGGAGCTGCTAGAGACAAGAAATATGCAGTGTTGGAAGCATGAAACCCATTGCTTAAAGCACAGTGAACAAATCCAGACCATTGTTCATGTAGGATGCATGGTTTTTGGGATGCTGTTATGACTTAGTGGCCCTAACTAATCTAAAATCGCATTTCTTTGTGGCCCATTGTACCTCTGGTAGGTGATGTTAGAAGGGCCCAATCTGTACCTAGGGTAGCATACACTCAGCCTCTGCTATAAACACTTAGCACACCACCGAGTGATTTCAGAAATTGTTTGTTTGCTTTACTTTGTCAAATGGCAGCTTCTTGTCTTTGTCTCTGTTGGGAGTTTGGGAACTCTTAAAACTTCTTTGAAGATTTATAAAGAGAATAAACTTTGCTGCAGGTGAATTTGTGAGTGCTTTAATATAGATCTAGTTTTAGGAATGCCATAATTCGTTGTCCTATTTTCGGCTGTACTCTGTGGTAGACTAAAAGTTTATTTAGGTACAAAGCTATTTTGAGAGAGAGGGAGGTAGAGAGCACAGTTATCTCAAGAGATTATCTAAAAATCTATTTCTATATTTTATAATTATATTTATTTATATTAAGAATCTGATGTGTGCTTTAAATAAATAAAAGGCATCAAAATTACGATTTCTGAAACACTTTGAGAACTAAATTTTGCATTCTCAGATATGTATTTTAAATTTTTTTTAAGTTTTTTGTTTTTTTGTTTTTTTTT